TGTAGTCCACCCAGACAACATACCATATGCAGGAAAGTCACTTATGGTCCACAAAAGCATCGCTCGCATCGTAAAGTTTGTTTTCGTTGAACAATCATATGTCCTCACCCCTGTTGACCACAAATCTTTCAACTCTTTTATCAGTGGTTGTAGAAAAACGTCGAGAGATCTTTTTGGATGTTTTGGACCAGGTATTAAGGGGGGGTTAGTGGGAGATAGATTTTTAAAGAATTGAAGAATTTTGAGATTCTGTGTTATTGGTAACATGATTCTTAAAGTTTTAAAAAGTTTGGTGTTATTGGTGTGGTGATTTTACAATTCCATATAAATCTTTTGTCATTCAAAAAGTTAAGTATTTTTAGAATTTGTAATTCTATTAAACTATGGTGTTATTGAAACAATGATTCATTACATTTTAATTCACTAGTCACAACTTTCAAAATACTAGAGTTAACCCATGTATTCTCAAAGTTGAGATACGAAAATCAAATTTTTTTTTATCAAACATGCAAATATGACGTGAGAAGCATTATCACTTCCATATAATCTCTTTTATCAAACATGCATATATATAATTATGAAATATACTTCATGCACAGACACATTACAAAACATCAAAATGATAAACCCAGAATTTTTTTATCCAAAAAAACTATGAAAGAGATTCCAGTCATACAAAAGCACATCAAAATGATAAATCCAGAAAATAACAGCATCACAAATGAAAGTGAGTTATAAATTGTTGAGGAAAGTAGAAGTATATAATTTTTTTTTTTTTTGATATAACTCACCATTAACGCTGACTTCCAGCTTCTACAGCGTCATTCCACATACTTAAAGCTATTGTGTCTCTCCAGTTGTTAGCATATTCTCTTTGTTGAGATTCAAGAGCACCAACATGTACAACTTCTTCAAAATTTGCTTGGTCATTGTTTGGAGGGATCACTTCCTCTGGAAAAGCATCAGACCGACAATGCTTCCGTAGAAAATTATGTAATCCAGCACAAGCTAAAACCAATTCTGCTTGTGTTGTAAAAGGAAAAGGAGGTGCTGACTTAAAAATCAAAAAACGAGATTTAAAAATACCGAAGATTCGTTCAATCACATTTCTCAAAGATGCATGCCGCAAATTGAACAACTCGTTTTGGTTTTTAGGATCACGGCCTTCACCTCTAAATTCTTGTAAATGATAGCGAGTACGTCTGAATGGAGCTAAGAACTTCTGACGATTTGCAAATCCACAGTCTAGTAGATAAAATTTCCCTGAAATTCAATTTGTAAATAAATAAAAAATTCTTGTTAATCTATAAATTGTTTACTACAATTTATTTAGGTACATACCTTCTGGAACGATTAATCTGCTACCGTGCCTTGTCAAAGCATTACTTAAAATTTTTGAATCATGAGCTGATCCTTCCCATCCACTAAGAACATACATGAATTCCAAATCAAAGTTGCAAGCAGCAAGGACATTTTGTGATATAAATCCTTTGCGATTACGATAGCTTGGAACATCAGAAGTTGGTATCATTGCAAAAATATGTGTACCATCAATAGCTCCAATACAGTCCTATAAAAATTAAAATAGTGATTTTCAGAGAAACAAATGAACAAAAAACTTATGTTAACTTTAGATAAATTTTATGTGTACCTTGAAGTAGGGATAAAATCTTGTGCTCTCACTTATCTTTGCAGCTGTTGTAACTCCAGGCTTTACCATCAAATCAGGTGCTAAGGTATTTAATGCACGCAAGACTTTGTGAAAGTTTTCACTGATAGTGAACTTTGACCTCTTGAATGTGTCTTTTGTGTACCCATATTTTGAACCTTGACCAACAATAAGTAAAAATGTGGCCACCATTTCTTCAATGCATATATTCCGGGTATCTCTCAGACCAGTCTTCATTCTAATAAGATCACAAAATTTTTCAAATGAGCTTGGATACATGCGATATAGTGATCGGAAGTGCTCAGGGTCCTCTTTCAAAGCATTTTGAATGTAATCATAACCAATGTTAGTGATTGGCCGACGAACGGGGCGTCGTATGCGATTGTCACTCCTCACATATGTTGTTGCTATGCTATTTAACACCACCAGCAAAATGTCTAAATCTGACTCGTCTTCTTCCATTTGGTTTGCTCGTATTTCATCATACGTTTGTTCTTCTTCTTCAAAGGTCTCCATGATAAAACACACCTACAAAAAGAGATTGCTATTTATATTAATAACTGAAATACACGAAGAATCTTTAAAAACTAGACTAACCTAGACACTAACAATAAAGTTACATAGATCATTTACCGACACTAACAATAAAATAAGCTACGTGGTATAACAACAGCATGACATTTTGCTTTGCTAGCTAAAAGCAACAAAAAATATTTAAAAACCCCATCATGTATATTAAACTAAAACCAGTTCGATATTAAAATAACAGTCTAGAAGGATTGTAAAGAAATAACAGAGCAGTCTAAAACAAATAGATCAATTTCAGTTGACATTGCTTTGGATCCAACCATAGCGTTCTTCTATGGACATATCAGTGAACACATCTTTCATTCCCAAGGAATAGATAAGGGTCACCGCTTTAAATTTGATACGATCATCCAAATCAGGAACCTCTTTCATAGCATCCCAAACACTGTTTTTCTTCTTTTCAGCTTCTCTTTTCTCAGCTTCTTTTTGGTGTCTTTCTTCTCTCTGTGTTATGAAGGTAAGGATCTTGCTGGTCATCATTACCATAGCATCACTTTGATCACTGTTTATCTCAACTGAACTGCCAGATGTGTCTGTTCGAGATCGTTTTCTCGAGACAAGTTTTTCCACACGCCTTTTGACACCATTTTCTGGGGATGGTTGCTGAGCATATACATCATCATTGATGTCCTCAAAATTCAAGTTTTCTTGTACTTGACTGTCACCAACAGTGAAGACACGAGCATCCGTGGTATCACCCAAGCCAATTGCAGAACTACCATTAGCAGTTGCACAATCAAATATGATTTTTAAATCATCAAACTGTTCACTAGAGTCATAGCGTAAAAACTTGTGATTTGGATGTCCCTACAATATAAATAATTAAAAGAATTCATTACTCTATGAACTTATGTAAACCTATATCAGTAAGTGATCCTTTCACGTAAACTATATCATATGCAAATATCATTTTATCTCATAAACTAAATTATATCTAACAGAACCCTTGTAATTCAAGAACATATCTAATAAAAATGATGCAAAATATAGACATACCTTTAAATAGTCATTCCATACTTCATTAGAAGCCATAAATCTTTTCATGATAGGATCCCACCCAAAGCCTGAACTGTTGTTTAAAAGATCAACATAGCATTGATATTGACCTTTTAGGAACTTGATTCTGCTTAGGTAATGCTTGTGGGTTTTCTGGCATCCAAGTCTTCCGTTCAAGACTGGTAGTATTTTATGTTCCACTGTTGCTTTGTTCATTATTCCATTACTGTCACGCCATCCACGTTGAATTCCATCCACAAGCAACTCTATTAAAACCTTGGTTTCCTCTGAATTCCATAGGCTATACTGATTTTTTTCTTTATCACCCATTGCAATCTTATGTGAAGTTAATCAACATTAGTAAAAACATACACACAAAAATATTTATCACAAACAAACAGGTAAACATAAAAGTTCTTAACCCTTTTACAAAAAAATAAAAAACATAAAAGTTCTTGCTACTAGTCTAAGCAAATAAAATAATGAAACCAACATAAACTTGCAAGCAATAGCTATAACAATCAAACCATTTTATACACTATAATGAAAAACAAAGAAATAGATCACAAAAAGAGATTAAAAAAGCGAACCAGATTTTTCAAAAAAGAAGAAGAGAGAACTAGAGACTTGCAGTACCTTACGTGCTTTGATGATGAATAGAAGCAAAGAACAATTTTAAGACGCTCCTTTTCTTTATACACAATTGAACTTACCTTATTTTGAATTTTTATATGGAAAATAGATAAACAATAGTTGAAAAAGTTAACATAAAATCACAATAAGTCATCACCAATCAAGCCAAAAGAATATATGGATTCTATAAATATGGGAAGACATATTGTAAGAATCAATGGAAATATTACAGAATTAAAATCATCTTGACTTTTGGAATCAGAATGAATTAGCTTCCCACTAACCCCCCCTAAGATGCTCATGAATAGAAACTCTCGTCGCATGCACATCTCCGGTGGCAGGTTATACGGTGTAAGAAAGACCGGCCACAATGAATATTGTCTCCCAGACATTCCAAATGGACTAAAACCATCAGTGCATAATCCAAGATACACATTCCGGCTATTGCTAGCGAAATGTGGATGTACATTGTTAAAATGTTTCCAGGCT